TAATGTTGAGTAGTCTATCTAAGAACATAAGATGTCCTTTCATTAATTCAGTCTAGTTTTTTATATTTAGTAGTTGCTTAAAATACCTTCAAGCACTTTCCTGAAGTCTTCCTCACATAGATTCTGCATGTTTCTTGTTAGATTTATCTGTAGTGCCTTCTGATACACACACACACACACACACACACACACACACACACACACACACACAGCTACTTTAGCATGAATATATATCCTGTGTTTCTGTATTAAGTAAGATTCTGAATTTGGGGCTTAGGCTTGTGTGTGTGTGTGTGTGTGTGTGTGTGTGTGTGTTTTGCCAATAGCTTTATTTTCTTGTGAGGTGTTTTTGATGAATCAGTAATTTGGGAGAAAGTGATTCTTAGCATCTATGGGATCTGTGGGAATGATTATTAATTTTTATTCATATGTCTTTTTGCATTATTGTTGCAAAAAAGCATGCAACATAACATTTATCCTCTCAACAGTTTCCAGGTGTACAATACAATATTGTCAACCACATGCACATTGTTGTGTAACAGACCCTCATCCTGTCTCTCACACTCCCTAAACAACAATTTCCTACTTGCCACTCTCCCCAGCCCCTGACCATTACCATTTTACCTTCTGTTTCTATATTCTACTTATATACCTAGTAGGTGAAATCATGTAGTATTTATCTTTTTTATAATGGTTTGTTTAACTTAACATAATGTCCTTAAGTTTCATCCACATTGTAGTATATAACAAGATTTCCTTCTTTTTCATTGCTGAATAGTATTCAGTTGTATGCATATACCATATTTTCTTTATCCATTCTTTCATTGATTGTCATTTAGGTTGTTCCTGACTCTTGGCTATTGTGAATAATGCTGCAATGAACATAAGTATGCAAATATCTCTTCTAGGTCCTGCTTTCAGTTATTTTAGATATATATTCAGAAGTTATATTTCTGGATTATATAGTAGTTCTATTTTTATTTTTTTGAGAAATCTTCATACCATTTTCCGTAGTTGCTGCACCATTTTACATTCCCACCAGCAGTGCAGAAAGGTTCCAATTTTTCTATATCCTTGCCAATATTTGTTATTTTTTGTTTTTTTCTGACAGTGGTCACCCTAAGAGGTATGAGGTGATACTTCATTTTGAAATAGATTTTTTTTTTTTTTTTTTTTTGAGACGGAGTCTCACTCTGTCACCCAGGCTGGAGTGCAGTGGCCAGATCTCAGCTCACTGCAAGCTCCGCCTCCCAGGTTTACGCCATTCTCCTGCCTCAGCCTCCCGAGTAGCTGGGACTACAGGCACCCACCACCTCGCCTGGCTAGTTTTTTGTATTTTTTGTATTTTTTTTTTTTTTAGTAGAGACGGGGTTTCACTGTGTTAGCCAGGATGGTCTCGATCTCCTGACCTCGTGATCAGCCCGTCTCGGCCTCCCAAAGTGCTGGGATTACAGGCTTGAGCCACCGCGCCCGGCCCGATATAGATCTTTTTAAATGGTGAATTTTACTAATGGATTTTGTGATTTGGACCATCTTAGCATTCCTATAATAAATTCCACCAAGTCCTGATGTGTTGTGATTCTTTGTTGTTCTTTTTATTCTGTTCTTTTTAAAAAAATTTAATACTTTTTTAGTGTAAGGTTTTCATATTGGTATTCATAAGTAAGATTTTCCTGTAGAGAGAGAATGTGTGTATGTGTGTGCAATCTTTATCAGATTTTGATATTGATGTTATACCAGATACAGAAAAGTTTTTAAATGTACATACAGGCAAAAATTGAGGCTATTTGAAAGCCTTCTTGAAACTTGAATCTTTTGCTTCTTCTCTATCCCAATTTCACTGCTTTATTGCAGGTCATAATCACTTCACACCTAGATTATTCGGTTAATCATCTAACTGACTTGATTTCATTGTCTCACCTCTCTTTAATGCATCCTTAGGTAACATCGTGGACAATCTAAAATGTACCTCCATTAATGTTTAGAAATATTTGCACATTCTTTTCCCTCTATCCCACATGTTAGTTTTTCATCTTGTCTCTGAAAATTGTTTATTCATCATTCAAAACCTATTCTTTATACTTGTGTTTTCTCTAAATTGTCACCAAATCTCTTTCCCTAGGGTTCATCACACTTAGCCGCCTACTACTTTTGTATCTTCTATGATGTCACATCTTATTTTGTGACTTAAAAAATGTGTATCTTTCTCCACTACAAGATTCTGAACACTTTGAGGGCTCTGACCTTGTGTCCCTAATAACTATCACAGTGCCTTACATAAAGTAGTTACTCAGTAAGTGGTTTTTTTTTTAAATTTTTAAAAAATTTTTACCACAAATTATTGGGGTACAGGTGGTATTTGGTTACAATACCAAAGAGAAAGTAGTGGTGATTTGTGAGACTTTGGTGCACCCATCACCCATACAAACACTGCACCATATTTGTAATCTTTTATCCCTCTTCCTCTTTCCACTCTTTCCCCCAAGTTTCCAAAGTCCATTGTATCATTCTTATGCCTTTGCATCTTCATATCATAGTTCCCACATATCAGTGAGAACATACGATGTTTGGTTTTCCATTCCTGAGTTATTTCACTTAGAATAATAGTCTCCAATCTCATCCAGGTCACTGCAAATACTGTTAATTCCTTCCTTTTTATGGCTGCATTTTTATTCCATCATATATATGTAAATATACACGCAGTTTCTTCATCCACTCATTGATTGATGGGAGTTTGGGTTGGTTCCATGATTTTGAAATTGTGAAATGTGCTGCTATAAATGTGTGTGGAAGTATCTTTTTTGAATAATGACTTTTCCTCTGGGTAGATACCCAGTAGTGGGACTGCTGGACCAAATGGTAGCCGTACTTTTAATTCTTTAAGGAATTTCCACGCTGTTTTCCATAGCGGCTGTACTAGTTTACATTCCCACCAGCAACGTAGAAGTGTTCTCTGTTCACCAATCCCATGCCAACATCTACTGTTTTTTGATTTTTTGATTATGGCCATTCTTGCAGGAGTAAGGTGATATCACATTATGGTTTTGATTTGCATTTCCCCGATCATTAGTGATATTGAACATTTTTTCATGTGTTTGTTGGCCATTTGTATATCTTCTTTTGAGAATTGTCTATTTATGCCCTTAGCCCACTTTTTGATGAGATTATTTTTTTCTTACTGATTTGAGTTCCTTGTAAATTCTGGATATAAGTCTTTTGTCAGATGTATAGATTGTGAAGATTTTCTTCCACTTTGTGGGTTGTCTGTTTACTCTCCTGTTCCTTTTGCCGTGCAAAAGCTCTTTAGTTTAATTAGGTCCCAGCTATATATTTGTTTGATTGCATTTGCTTTTGGGTTCTTGGTCATGAAATCCTTGCCTAAGCCAATGTCTATAAGGGTTTTTCCCATGTTATCTTCCAGAATTTTTATAACTTCAGGTCTTAGGTTTAAGTCCTTAATCAATCTTGAGTTGATTTTTCTATAAGGTGAGAGATGAGGATCTCCTACATGTGGCTAGCCAATTATCCCAGCACCATTTGTTGAAAAGGGTATCTTTTCCCCACTTTATGTTTTCATTTGCTTTGTTGAAGATCAGTTGACTGTAAATATTTGGGTTTATTTCCGGGTTCTCTATTCTGTTCCATTGGTCTATGTGCCTATTTTTATACCAGTACCATGCACATTCCATGTTCATGGATGGGTAGAATCAATATCGTGGAAATGACCATACTGCCAAAAGCAATCTACGAATTCAATGCAATCTCATCAAAATACCACCATCATTCGTCACAGAATTAGAAAAAACAACTCTAAAATCTATATGGAACCAAAAAAGAGCCCGCATAGCCAAAGCAAGACTAAACGAAAATAACAAATCTGAACACATCACACTACCTGATTTCAGACTATACTATAAGGCCATGGTCACCAAAACAAGTGTTTATTTGTACTTATTTTCATTTGCATGCCCTTTCCTGTACTGTTAAAGATGAGAACATTCATTCAGCAGACAAATTTCTTCCTTCCTGATGACTGTGGATTTACAGTACTTATGGACTGAATGAACCTTGTTGGTGAAATGAGGGTGAAATGCCCTTAAATTATATTGTTAGTAGTAATATTCTACCCTTCATTTTTGTGCACTCTACTTTCTGTTGTCAGGGAGAAACCTGCTTTGTGGGGGTATAAATTTCCTTCTAGAATGATGAAATAAGGGTATCAGAGTTCAGCTAAGTTCTCTCTGCCTCTCAGTTGACTGAAGCTAGATTCTGTTACAGAGAGTGTTAGTCCTGGCCTGAGGTACTCATGGTTTATTGCATATAGGAGGGCATGTGATCTGGTATGTGTTGTTGTTTCATGTTCTGCAGCCTTTTGCTTCTCTTGATAGCAGACTCATTTTCATAAACAAGGTAACAGGAGTGGTTGAAGCTACGGTTGCTCTTTATCATTTATACATAGTAGGGATTCATGACCTACATCTCAATCCATTTTAAAACTTTACTTGCAATTGTAAAATAGTAATATTAAGCAGATAATGAAAATTTATCAAACTGGATGCTTTGAATAGGTTTTATTCACAGCATTTGATTGCATAGTAAACTTTCATTTACTAGATTGGCAAATGTTTGATGCCTTAGGACTTAATAACTTGGTTTTTTCTTCCTTCCCTCAGGTTAACACTTTAAATTATTTGTTCATAAAATATAATTCACATGTTGGAAAAATCAATCCAAGTTTCTTTATTCTGTTTTCTTCACTTACGTTATATACCCTTATTTCATTTGTAGCTACACATTTTTTAAGGGTAAAATAAACCCATAAATCCTGTCAGAATTGTAAGGTGCTAAATATCCACAATTTTAACTAATTTTGGTACATTTTAAAGTGTTGTATGTTGTTATCTAAATTTGTTTTATCAGCAGATATCTTCTACTTGGCATATGTATGTTGTAGAGTATTCATAAATACCATTATTCATGTATTAAACCTTTATTTTCAGCTCTTGATTCTGCACAGAGTAGTTGGTCTACCAGTTACTCTCCAAGACCAACTGACAGCTGTTTCAGTTCTAGTTCAGATGTGGTAAGTTATGCTTGTTTCACCTATTAATATATGCTATATTAATTAATAATTATTTGTTTTTCTCATAGTTTACCTTTACCTTATAAAAATGTTGAGTCAAATAGTGTAAGTAAAAATTAATATAAACAAAAAAGTAAACAAACAAATATATACAACTATTTAAAAATATACAAAAGAAAAATGTAAACAAAAATGTAAAATAAAAATGTAAATGAGTACCATTCTTCATATTTGTAAAAATAATGCTTTTACTGCCATTTACAAAACACCTTTTATCCTTTTATCAGGATACATTATATATATACACATATATATATACATACACATAAACACACACACATTATGTGTGTACAGTTTATCTTTGAACATTGCAGGGTTTAGGGATGCTGCTCAGTCAGAAATCTGAATAAAATGTTTGACTCTGCAAAACTTAACTACTAATAGCCTACTGTTGGCCAGAATCCTTACTGATAACATAAACAGTTGATTAACTCATATTTTGTATGTTGTACATATTATATACTGTATTTATACAATAAAGTAAGCTAAAGAAAAGAAAATATTAATATCTTAAGAAAGAGAAGATATATTTACTATTCATTAAGTAGGAATAGATCATCATAAAAGTCGCAATCCTCATCATCTTCATGTTGAGTAGGCTGAGGAGGAGAAGGGAGAGGCAGAGTTGGTCTTGCTGTCTCATTGGTAGCAGAGGCAGAAGAGGTGGAGGAGGTAGAATAGGGGACAGGAGAGGCAGGCGCACTTGGTGTAACTTTATGGCAATACATCATTATTTCTTTCTGAGTTTTGATTTTTCGTTTCTCTAAAAATGTTTTTACATGGTACCAATCCTTCTTCTACTGTTTACTTTAGCTTCAGAGCCTGTATCATAGAAAGATCTGTGTCATAAAGAAGTCAAAAGAGGTCAACACTTTTGCCAGATTGTCTAATGTCAGAGTTTTCTGGTACTGCTTCTTTTATGTCTTCTTCCTTGTCGTCTGTAACTGGTTCTTAAGTACTCATCTCCATCAAGTTGTCTTCTGTTAATTCCTCTGGAGGGTATCTATTAGCTCTTTAGTTTTTGTAAGCTCCGTATCTTGAAACCCTTCACCTTTCACCTTTTTTGCCGTATCCACAATCTCTTTCATGATTTTCTTGATTAGCTCTTGTAAATCCTATGAAGTCATGTTCTATATCTAGAACAGTTTTCTCCTGCAGGGATTTCTTTTCTGAGTCTTGATGACTTTCATGGCTTTTTCTATAACAGTAATGGCATGTTCAATGGTATAATCCTTCCAAACTTTTATGATGTTCTCTCTCCTGGATTCTCTTCCATTGCATTGGCCATCCTTTCCATAGAGCACAATGTATAATGAACCTTAAAGGTCAGTGTGACTCCCTGATCTAGGGACTGAATTAGAGATGTTGTACTTCAAAACATATAAACTACTTTGACGCCTTTGGTACTGAACTCATGGGATTCTGGGTGACCAGGGGCATTATCAATATCAAAATAACTTTAAAAGGCAGTCCGTTACTGGCAAAGCACTTACTGACTTCAGGGACAAAGCACTGATGGAATCAATTCAGAAAAAGCGTTTTTGTTTTCCAGGCCTTCTTTTTTTTTTTTTTTTTTTTTTGAGACGGAGTCTCGCTCTGTCGCCCAGGCTGGAGTGCAGTGGCCGGATCTCGGCTCACTGCAAGCTCCGCCTCCCGGGTTTACGCCATTCTCCTGCCTCAGCCTCCCGAGTAGCTGGGACTACAGGCGCCCGCCACCTCGCCCGGCTAGTTTTTTGTATTTTTTTAGTAGAGACGGGGTTTCACCGGGTTAGCCAGGATGGTCTCGATCTCCTGACCTTGTGATCCGCCCGTCTCGGCCTCCCAAAGTGCTGGGATTACAGGCTTGAGCCACCGCGCCCGGCCTCCAGGCCTTCTTGTTGTATTACTGAGAGACTGGCAATTGGTGTTTATCCTTCCCTTCAAAACTTGAGGGCGAGCAGCTTTATAGATAAGGGCAATCTTTGTCATAAACCTGACTGCATTTGCACAAAGCAGTAGAGTTAGCCTATCCCATCCTGCCTTAAATCCTGGTGCTTGCTTCTCTTCCTAATAAATATCCTATGTGGCATGTTTTTTTTTTTTTTTTCCCCCCTGAAATAGGGCACTTTTTTGTCTCCATTAAAAACTTGTTTAGGCAGATATCCATTTTCCTCAGTGATTTCCTTTAAAGGCATCTGGGAATGTATCTGCTGCTTCTTGGTCTGCAGAAGCTGCTACCCCTATTACCTTGATATTTTTTAAGCCAAAGCTCTTTCTAAAATTATCAAACCATCTTTTGCTGGCATTAAATTCTCCAGCATTAGATCTTTCAGCTTCCTTTTGCTTTAAGTTGTCATAGAATGGCTTCACTTTTTCTTGAATCACATTAGCGTCTAAAAGTATGCCTTTGTCAGAGCAATCCTGCACCCACATAAAAGCTACATTTTTAAAACAACGTAAAAAGGTATTTCACAAAAGTACATTTGCCTTCACAAGTTTCCTTTTCTTTCTTTTTTTAAAGAACTATACTTAGATTTAGCTTTTACTTGTGTATATGTAAACTCATGCACATGAGGCCTTAGAAATTCTAAGAGATGACTGTCCTTCAATAGCACATTCTCAACACTATATTACAGTGTTCTCTATTTGTTAACTAGTTCCATTCCCTGAAAGAAAAGACCAAATAATGCATCTCCAAAGGATCCTGCTTATAATTACATTTTAAATGTATATGCATAAACATATTATAATAAATACTTATGAACAAAGGTAAGAAATATTAGTTAACCAGGCATGATGGTTCCTGCTTGTAATCCCAGCATTTTGGGAGACTGAGGTGGGCAATTGCTTGAGCCCAGGAGTTCGTGACCAGCCTGGACAACGTGGCCAAAGCAAATACAAAAAATTAGTCAGACATGGTGGTGTGTGCTTGTGGTCCCAGTTACTGGGGAGGCTGAGGTGGAAGAATCACCTGAGCCTGGGAGGTTGAGGTCACATTGAGCCATGATTGTGCCACTGCACTCCAGCCCAGGCAATGGAGTGAGACCCTGTCTCAAAAAAAAAAAAAAAAAAAAATCAGCAATAACATGTTATCAACACTAGATTACAAGGTTATCTATTTGTTAAACAGTTGAATTCTCTGAAAGAATATAACTCAAATTGCTTCACTAAAGAAGCACGCTTAGATTTACCTTTTATTTTTTGTTGATGTATAATATTTATACATACTTAATCAGGTATATATGATGTTTTATTACATGACTCGAATGTGTAATGATCAAGCCAGAATATTTAGGATATCTATCACCTTGAGTGTTTATTTCTCTGTGTTGGGACCGTTTTAAGACATAGCTACTAGCTATTTTGAAATATACATTTGTTTTTAACTGTAGTTATCCTACTCTGCTATTAAACATTAGAACTTATTTCTTCTATCTAACTGTGTGTTTTTACCCATTAACCAACCTCTCTTCATCCCTCCCACCCCCTGACAATGACACCTTTCCCAGTCCCTGGTATCTATCATTCTACTCTCAACCTGCCTGAGATCAACTTTTTTAGTTCCCATATGTGAGTGAGAACATGTCATATTTGTCCTTCTGTACATGGTCCTTATGCTGGGTTTATGTATCTTGAAATGGCAAGAAACTGCAGCTGCAGACCCCAGTTTATAGTACATACCAAGCAGTTCAAGCAATTAATTAATGCCATGACTTTTCTCTGCTTCTTGGGAGCACTTCCAGCATCACTAGTGGCATTTCATGTGGCTCCTTGGATGTTATTCAAGGTGTATGTTACTGCACTAAACATAGTGAAAAATATGCAAGAACCACAAGAGATCACTTTTTACTACAATATGCAATTTACCAGAGAGACCGCAACAGCAACAGGAGGTGGCTATGAAATTATTACAGTAGTACAGTATGTGCTACAGTTAGTTTTATGCAGTCATGATTTAATACTGAATATTTGTTTACATTTCTCTATGTTTATTTACATTTGTCTTGGTTGTAAATGGTGCCACTTATGGCCATGTTTGTGTGCAAAAGTTTTGATAAATTTTAACTTTTCATAATAGATCCGTGTATATTTTACAGTAGTAAATTGTAAACTAGTATCTACAGATATTTTATGTATTCATGATATACTTAACTTTTTCTTATTTTCTGAGTTTTTTCAAATTGTCACGAATCTCTAAAAAGTTTTCTAATGTATTTATTGAAGAAAAATGCACATATAATTGGACCTGTGCAGTTCAAACCTGTGTTGTTCAAGGGTCAACTGTGTATACACACATGATATATAATATATAAAAATATATGGAGATACATTTTATTTCTTTTAAGAGGCTTTTTAAAAGAACCCATTCATAATAATTAGAAATGTAAAATAACCAATAATATGTTCAAAAATAAACTCTTCACATTTAGATGAAAACTGTAAAATGTTATTGAAAACTGAAACCTGAATAATTGGAGTGACATAGTATATTCTGAGTAGAAATGCTCCATTGCTGGTAAATCACATGTTTAAATGGAATTCTCCTCCATTCATTCTTTCATCTTCATTTTGTTTACCTTTTGTCTCTAATTCAGCATCCAAGCAGCTCTTGCTGAAGACACCAATGACTTCTATGTTGTTAAATTCATTGGATACTTTTGAATCTATCTCATAAGAACTCCTAATATTGGTATAAATTATTATTTTATTTTTTGAAAAACAATTTTAACTCTTTGCTTTTGTGATAACACACTATCTTGTTTGTCTTCATATTTCTCTGAATGCTACTTTATGCCTTTGTCCACTTTTCCTGTACCCCCCATATAAATGTTATAAAGTTTAGAATTTGACATAGGACAATCTTCTTCTGTTAACCTACACTCTAAACCCTAGGTGATGTTATACACTCCAATGAATTTTGTGCTATCTACATGATGACAGTTCTTAACTTTAAACTTTAG